GTAATGGACCGCCAGTACTCATATTACCATGTAATTGACGGCGACAGCTCCATCTGCGTAGCTCTGAGTTGAATTAATGTATGGGGTGACAGGCAGCGATTCTCCACACGTGGTGACGTCAAACCCTTGTGGTTTTCATGCAAGGGGAAATAGAACATACACCTAATATTATAAACCTGCAATACATCCGAGCCGAAAGATAAACGCTGTTGTTAGTGTTTTCCAACCAACTGCTTCAATACGTGTGGTTGGAGTTTGCAGAGGAGGGACTGGGACAATAGAATCTAGATGAAACTTAATGAAATGGCCTTATAAAGGGACTGGGAGAATAGAATCGAGATGAAACTTAATGAAATGGCCTTATAAAGTGAGGATGAGAGGAAAGAGGGAGTGGCTAAGGATCGAGTCCTAATGGCGGGATTTTGGCATTAGCGGTGTTGGATCTTCGGATTCTGTTACAAGATATCGTGTGTACAAAATACGTGGTTGGTTATATGTAGGATTTGTAGTGGACAACGTTAGGTTTTATGGGTTCGTACGTGTGTCCATAGACTTATAGCTTGTATGTGCGTATGTCTGCATGAGTTTATATTCGTGTGTGTACGTGCATATCCCTGTGTACATAAGTACATAAAATAGTGTAGTTGCGTCATATTGTGATTTATTAAATTTATTAAATCACTTCAAACAATAAAGTTGATCCATTATATGAAAATATCTGGACACGACCTCCAAAACACTACACTACGAAAATTTGTAAAAAATTGTAATTGAGTTTTAAATTTAATATAATTTTACACCTGATGATGGTTTAATAAAACCGAAACATGTTGTAACTGTTCCAATTGTAAATCGATTATTCGATATGGAACACAGAATGATATTTTAATTATTTTAATTATCTTATTTTAAATACATTGTGATTTGACGGAATAACCAAATAATTTAATTTTAATAAGTACATAAGTATAATGGCTAGCCTTTTGTTGATTTTGGCCTAATGTTGATGACGAAGACATTACGATGGTATTGGTGGTCCACTCATATTAGAACAAGAGACAGAGTTACACCATTGCCCTTATGGTAGAGATAGAGATGTTTCTTTAAAATTTAGATGACTTTTAAACAACTGATACGACTGAGCCCACACCTGCTTCGAGGTTACATCAGATGACGTAATATGATAAATTTAGGGCTCACTGCATATTTCGAACTAATTTCTCAGAAATATGGTATTTATGACGAATCTTTCAGATATGTTTATAGTTTAATTTTTAGACACAAATTTTCGGAAATTGGCATTATACTTTTCATTAGGTGAAAGGATAAGATGGAAAATTTTACTATTTTGGTTCGTACATGGATTTAGTCTCATGCTTTAATACAAGGACAATGAGTGAAGTCCAGAACATTAGTCATGCGCGTTGTCTTACACCACGGTCGATATACTTTACACTCTGAAATACGGTGGATGAGATATGCATGTAGCCTACCACACGCACGAGCTCTGTCTGTTCGGCGCTACTGAAGCCGGAATATAAGCCTAATTTGTGACAACGTCAATGCGAACGCAGGCGTACTATGTAAAATGTAGCTACGCCTCTGAAATTCCTCATTCCTTAGGGAACGTTGTGTTCTCTCATGCTTCAAAGTTGACTATTAAATTATGGAAGAGAACTCGTATTTTCAAACTTACACTCATAAAAACGAATGGAAATTAATCCGCCACACTAAAGTATGGATTATAAAGTTTCGTGGAAAAGGGAAAGGTACCAGTAAATATGTGTATTTGGCAACAAAGAGGATCACATGAGCATTATGGTCTCCACGTAGCTGACGTCGTGTATTACGAGTATTATGCCGTATCGAAATGGTGAAATTGTGGCGTTTCTAAAGAACTTTACACAGAAGCGTAATATATTAAACATTGTACATGAACTAGTATAATACGGACGACAAAGAATGAATTAAGGTTCTCCAAAGCATTCTTCATCCTATAAACTACCATTTGGATACTAGTATATACCAAGCAGACAACTATCACGAAACTTTGTAGTTTTGCTTATTAAATTAATGCAACATGACACTGTATAGTAGGCCTGTTACTGAAGAAAAGTAACTAACTAGACTTTATCGGTGGATGTACGCTTCTAAGTGTTTGAACCCTGAAGACGGAAGAAGATTTTTCTTCCGAAAAGTCAATATACTGCCAGGAGACAGTCATTAAAATGACTAAGTAAATAAACTAACTCAACAAATAACAAACAAACATTTAGAATATTACAGGACTCAGATGTACTAGACCGCGTTTTATTTGTAATGCACTGTATATGTTGTAACTGTTATAATTGGCTCCTTTAAATTCATGTCGGTATCGACAAATGTGGAAAGAATAGGATGTGAAGGTAAGGAGTTGATTTATGTGGCTTCTTACACTGTCCGATGGTGGGTTTTATGAACATAGCAATGAAGCCCATCAAATGAAGGCTTGATGATAAAGTCGTGTTGGTCTGTGTGCGTGCTATGTATCAGAAACTAATAGACGTGTTTCGATAAAGTTCTGTATGAGAAATATGCATTGAACGCTGATTGGATTGTGTTTTCACAGTTCGTATCAGTGCAATGCAAGCACTTCCTTCATATAACGATCAAATTGAAATAATCTTTTACCTATAATGGAGCTGTTACGGAAATAAACTATTGATATAACAAAAGTCCCGATCTCTGAACAAAAAACCAAGTGGATTACTCTCATATACCCATATTTTCATAAATACATTAATATGTTGTCTTTGAACAACACAACCTGGACAAAAATTATTCCAAAACCACCTGTGAGTGTAGTCCTATTTACAAAAGAAAGGCGATTATAGCCAATTATGTCTAATGTGTTTTATAAATAAATATCTCTAAAATATAAGCGTGGAAAGAATAGGATGTGAAGGTGAGGAGTTGATTTATGTGGTTTCGTACACTGTCTGATGGTGGGTTTTATGAACATAGCAATGAAGCCCATCAAATGAAGGCTTGATGATAAAGTCGTGTTGGTCTGTGTGCGTGCTATGTATCAGAAACTAATAGACGTGTTTCGATAAAGTTCTGTATGAGAAATATGCATTGAACGCTGATTGGATTGTGTTTTCACAGTTCGTATCAGTGCAATGCAAGCACTTCCTTCATATAACGATCAAATTGAAATAATCTTTTACCTATAATGGAGCTGTTACGGAAATAAACTATTGATATAACAAAAGTCCCGATCTCTGAACAAAAAACCAAGTGGATTACTCTCATATACCCATATTTTCATAAATACATTAATATGTTGTCTTTGAACAACACAACCTGGACAAAAATTATTCCAAAACCACCTGTGAGTGTAGTCCTATTTACAAAAGAAAGGCGATTATAGCCAATTATGTCTAATGTGTTTTATAAATAAATATCTCTAAAATATAAGTTTAGTTGCACACTGTCGATTTTGTTAGAGTGATACAGTAGAATTTGGATATTATGATGTCTTTAATTTATGACACACTGGAAATATTTGTGAACCCGTATTTAGGCCTAAGTAAAGTTTCCGCCAAAGCAATACATTGTCAATCAAAAAAAAACAACGAAAACCTAGTTCTGTGAAGAAATTCTTAACTTTTATTCCCTTGAGATGTTTAAATTTAGGCCTATGTAGAATTAAACTAGCATTTACTATAAATTAATAATCGGTCATTTTAATTATTCATTTTATAATTTCCCCTAGTACCTAGAGCTTACGTACATTAAATCTTTAGAAATAAACTCAAAATTTTGCGTCATTATAAAGTTTCTAATTGTTAATAAAGCCCTCATATAAAGTATTCAAGTGTAATTACGACCAAGGCCTGTCTATTTTCATCACTTCACGTAATTCGTTAGTTATCACGTCTTCACGGAAAGCGAAAATTAGATTTCTCGCGTCTGCCATTTTGTTGTTTTGTATACTAAAACTTTACTTAAGCGAAAACTGCATAGACCTATTTGTTGAAGATCCATTACCACAAACTGTTAAAGACTAAGTATTGCTAATGTCATGACTACCTCAAAACTTCCATGGTCGCAGTCACGTTAGTATTTTTAACGGTACATAACTAAAGGATAAAATGGCGTGATGCGTTTACAAAATTTAAACAATTATTTCATTTTGTCCAGAATTCTTAATAGAACATTCACACGGACATGATTGCATCATAAGCCTCTTTGTTTTCTTGGACTAATTTTGTAAGTACCAGAATTTTACATGGAGCATAATTTTTTTGACGTAAATACGTCTATACAGAAGGGTCATTCGGCAAAAACAGCGTTACGAAGATGTTTAAGATCCATACCAAAAATGTGTAAATATGTACCGACAATGGTCAGCATTTATATTAACTCCTGCGTGCGTAACAATACAAGAAAAGTGATTCGAATTTCTAACACACGCCTGCAACAATATTGGCTGAGCACGCCGTAAGGCTCTTTTCTCATTTATTATGCATGCTGTATAATTGCCTGAATAAACCGTATTACAATCCAATCCTTTACCTAAGAAACTAATTGTTACGTCATCTGTTTATTCGGCATTGTTGTGTTTCATTACTGCCGTTTTAGAATATCACAAGTACTTATCTTATATAAGAATTATTAAGAAATCTGTGATACTGCCCTCCACTCTCTCCATTTTAGTTTTGATTAGATTGATCATTGCCGGTGGACATCGTGGTCTCTTGCAATTGAACAAAGTTTCAGGTAAGGGATAAAGGCGTATCGCACTTCACGCTACTGCTCCGTTTGTGTTGCGTCATACTATGTAGAGACAACAAGATGACGACATTGAAGCTAAAAGAGTCCGTAATGCAGAATATATGACAGGACAGAAAACGTAGTGGCGCGTTAAGTGCCCGCCTCTCGAAAACCGTAAGAGATGGATCTGGACATATTGCGTACGAAATACGTATTTCCTCTTGAGCTTTCCATATCTATTTTCAGATTTTACATTCTCCGGAACCGTGGTTGCACTGTCAATTTTTTTGTTATAAGTCATCAAATTAACTACTATAATGGTGAGTACTATATTTTGCTCATTTCAGATATTTTAAGGAAGTAATTTTCGTTGTATTCTTTGATTACAATGTTTTTCACGAATGGAATTTGCTACCTCTGCAAAATACGGTATTACTTGTGATTAATAAAATGTAGGTTCTGGCATCGAATTAATGAGGAAGTAATATAAATTTTTATTTTTGTGTGATACGTTTATCATATAAACTGAATTTAACTAATTTTTCTTCCACGTGGCGGTTGCTGCATGTCGGCAATGCAGGAACTATTGTCACTGAATATTCAAAATTTTAAGTTTTGGTAAGGCTTAAAAAATGATGGAATTTCCTTATAAGAGAAAGTTGAGTCTGGAATTAATTTGTTATAAACTTGGTGGGCGAGGGAACAGCCGTGTTCCTTGGAACGATCAGTGAGGTTCTGCATGAAATGAGTTTCCAATGTTGCTAAGAAGGGATTTGTGTGACCAGTGATGCACCGGTTGTATATATTTGTACATGCATTGATGTGGTATTGTCTGAAGTATCACTGCTTCCGTATGTGTGGGTTTTGAACTGTGGTTCTAAAACATTTCTGAAATTCATAAGCTACTGTAATTTCATGTTTCACTTAATAGCGTATGAAAGGTCAGGATTTTTCAATATCTTGTCATGTGACAGGATAGTCTGAAGTAGTTTTGTGTTTCAGCGTGAGTGTATTTCAATTCATGTTGGCCAAGCTGGAGTACGAATTGGCAATGCATGCTGGGAGCTTTACTGTTTGGAACACGGTATACAGCCGGACGGCCAAATGCCATCTGCCAATACTCTAGGAGGTGGTGATGACACCTTCAAGACATTCTTCAGTGAAACTGGAACAGGAAAGTATGTACCAAGGGCAGTTTTTGTGGATCTGGAGCCCACAGTAGTAGGTAAGTACATTTGAAATCTCATAGGTGAAACAAAGGAGCATCCTATTCAATTGTATTGGGAAATGTCCGTTGAAATGTAGCAAAGTATAATGTTGATATGTTGATATTGGACGTTTACTGGTGTTTCCACAGATGAAGTTCGCACTGGCAAGTACAGACAGCTATTCCACCCTGAGCAGCTGATTACCGGAAAGGAAGACGCTGCTGACAACTATGGCCGAGGTCACTACACCATCGGCGCGAGCATCATGAACCGCGTTCTGGACAGCATCCGAAAGGTGGCTGACCAGTGCACTGACCTTCAGGGTTTCCTGATCTTCCATTCCTTTGGTGGTGGCACTGGCTCAGGTTTCACATCTCTGCTTATGGAAAAGCTCTCGGTTAACTACGGAAAGAAGAGGAAGCTGGAATTTGCGATCTACCCCTCCCCTAAGGTTTCAGCAGCTGTTGTCGAGCCCTACAACTCCATCTTCACCACCCACGACACACTTGAACATTCTGACTGTGCTTTCTTGGTTGACAATGAAGCCATGTTTGACATCTGCCAACGTAACCTGGACATTGAACGCCCCACCTTTACCAACCTGAACAGACTGATTGCCCAGGTTGTATCCTCGATTACCGCTTCTCTTCGGTTTGATGGCGCTCTGAACGTTGACCTGGCCGAAGTCGAGACTAACTTGGTGCCCTTGCCGCGCATCCATTTCCCTCTGGTTAACTATGCCCCTGCCATCTCTCTTGAGAAGGCATACCATGAGCATCTGTCTGTAGCTGGAATTACAAATGCTTGTTTTGAGCCTGCCAACCAGATGGCGAAATGTGACCCACGACATGGAAAGTACCTGGCCTGCTGCATACTGTACAGAGGTGACGTTGTGCCCAAGGACGTCAACGCTGCCATAGCGACCATCAAGACCAAGCGCAGGATCCAGTTCATGGACTGGTGTCCAACTGGTTTCAAAATTGGCATCAACTACCAACCACCAACTGTGGTTCCTGGAGGGGACTTGGCAAAGGTACAGCGTGCCGTGTGCATGTTGTCCAACACGACCGCCATTGCTGAAGCCTGGGCTCGTCTGAACCACAAGTTCGACCTCATGTACGCTAAGCGTGCCTTTGTTCACTGGTACTTGGGTGAGGGTATGGAAGTATTCGACTTTCCGGAAGCTCGCGAGGATCTCGCAGCCCTGGAGAAGGATTACGAGGAGGTCGTCGTGGATTCTGTTGAATGGGAAGGAGACAGTGCAGAGGAGTACTAATTGTCTACTTCAGTTTCAATTTGGGTTGTCAGTATTGTAAGAATTTTGTGTTTGTCAAATAATGTTGCTGATGTATTAAAATGAGTTCATTTTGAAACCAAATATTTTGTACAATTTATTTTACCTTCCATCCTTTTCTCTACTGTCATCTAAATATCTTGCATACTTGTACCAAATATATTTTTTAGCTGAAGTTATGTTCATGCTTTGCAAGTTGGTGAAACTGTTTGGTAAGAAATATATGGTGTTGGTTGGGAACCCTGAAGGGAGGAGACTGCTGGGAAGACCCTAGGGAGATGAGAATGGAGGGAACTGAATGCAGCTGGTTCAGGATGGAGTTTGGTGGCAGGCTTTTGTGAAAATGAATCTTTGTTGCATAAGTGCCATTTGACAAATTGAGTTTACAATTTACTTTTCAATTTTTTGTAATTAGTGAGAAATAATTGAGTGTTTATTTGAAGTAAAGACAATTTTTCTTTTCCCCTGTTTAATTTGCATTGGTCATACTTGTGAAATAACATGGTAGGTGGAAAACCAAGGGTAAGAAGTCCACATGGATGCAAGAAATGTACTGTGCTTAATGTGTGATTTCTTAAATATCTGATTCTATGGAGGTGCCGAGGAAGATGTTTTTTTTTCAGGTGCTCTTCAATCACCAATGTAAAATTTTTCAAGTACTTGTATTAGAGTAATTATCAAAATAATTTTATTGGTGTTTTGATGTAAATACGTCTATAAGGAAGGGTCATTCGGCAAGAAGGCGTTAGGAAGATATTCAAGATCCATACCAACAATGTGTAAATTGTTATGTCATCTGTTTATTGGGCATTGTTGTGTTTCATTACGGCCGTCAACAATCGCTTGTAGAAGAAGTGCGTCGTAGACTAGATAATTTTGTGCTGGTAAAAACGTTTTAGAATATCACAAGTACTTCTCTTATATAAGAATTATTAAGAAATCTGTGATATTCCCCTCCACTCTCTCCATTTTAGTTTTCATGGTGGTACGTTTCAAAAAATTGTATTCAACTACAAGAGTCTAGATCATCAGTTGGTTTACGTTGTCCTTTCTCGCGTTACATCGTTGGACGGTTTGTACATCACAAGCAGAAACAACGACTTCGTGTTTTATCATGCCAAAGAAACAAACAACCCGAAGGTAGAGGACTTGCGCACTGAGCTGAGGCGGTTAGAAACACGTATATTACCCACGTTGACTGCTTCGGTGAGAGCATTCATAAGGAGTGCTGGTATTCGTGATCTAAAAATGACTACTAAGCTCCCTAAGAAGGATGGAGCAGATTACAGAATAGCTGCAGCTGAAAAGAGAGGAGATATTTGTGCGGCAGTGTATGGTCAATGGTGAAAAAGTTTTAATTGTTACTCTGTATATTTTTAACAACACACCAATTGATGATTGTAAGAGATTTGTTTTGAGTAATTTGAGAAATTATACAAAGATGTTTTTAGTTATGGCCACAGAAAGTCCTAATACAATGCCGATAATATTGGCAGGAGATTTTAACATTGATTTAAAGAAGGAGGAAAATCAAAGCTTTGTCACATTTATGGAGGAAACGTTTGGCTTAATGTTGATGTCAAATCCTCAATGTAGTATAGATATGGTGTTTACACGAAATGTTGATACTCTAAAGTGGACAAATTTTTTAACATATTTCAGCTACCACAGGCAAATAGAAATCTGAGATCTGTTCATGTTCAATGCAACAATATTTAACTGTATTTACTTGCACACCTTAAACATCTTTGCTTACAACTACCATACTAACCTTAGGATATCCTGGAATAGGTTGGGATGTAGCGCAAATACATTAGGGAATTCCTTCACTATAATTAATTTCTTCATGTCCTTTCCAGTTTCCAAAACTGAACTATATCTACGTATTGATGGATGTTGGTCTCCGAATTTAAATACAATTCTTATTCTATTCTGATTTAATCATGATAATGTAAGTCTTAGGATCTGTACAGCCTAAGGAGTATTAGTCAAAGCACTGGAATTGTCCCAAGGTTTTCACAGTGGAATGTCATGGGGGCTGTAAAATAGACACGCTGTCCATCGGGAGTACGCAGACCTATCGTCTGCATGCCATTTGTCCGTGCAACTACAACGCAAGGGTCCTATTGTCGATCTGTCTTGTGGTTTGTGCACTCTTTTTATCTACATTTTCTCTTTTCTCTCTACATTCTTTCTCTTCCTCCCCCGCTCCCTTCTTTACAGAAAAAAAGTTTTTGTCAAACGTGTAGTGGACTGAATATCACTTGGACATATTTCTTCATTTTACTCTCTTCCACTTTACTCCGCCACTCACCAATTCTCTCGTTTCTAGCAGCAGTAAGACTATTCTTCTTTTTATCTACCGACGTTATCTAATAGCGTAAAAATAGACATGTTTAAATTCACTTTCTAGCAATGGCAAACAGAATACCAAAATTGTGTAATAAAATGATAATGGATAGATTAGCTTCGTAGAACATATTCTACATTTATCTAACTACCCTTTCTCAGTTCCTTAGTTACAAGCGTCGAATGGAAATAATATTGAAGGAAGTTACTATGACATTTTTCACAAACTGTATTTTTTTAGGAATTGATTAAAAATTATGACTAAAGCTCCTTACTGTCGATATCTTATTACAGAAATGAGTAGACTTCGTCTAACGAATACCAATCAAATGCGGTAACACTTATGAGATTAAGGGTAACTTCACCTATTCCCAGCTATAGGCTATACGTAACTACAAACTAATGTATTAGATCATGTATCAGTTGTCACAGTCTCTAATATTTTATAAACAAAGAATATTCGAATAATGTACAAATATGCTTCGTGAACTGTTGAAACAGTCTTTAATAATACGTCAGTCATATGTGGATGAGTGATAATTATTTTTATCTTCTTTCAGATGTTTGGCCGAGCCTCAACCTGAATAAATTTGCGGCACGCAGTAGTAAGTGATATATTGTTTAATTTTTTACTAGGTTTAAATGTATAATTAGATTATACAGTTGTAGAATTTAAGACACAGCGAATAGAGCTTAATAATAAGTTATATTTCGTTAAAGTTTTGTCTTGTTCCCATAATTTTCTGAGTAAATTAATGTCGATATTTTGACACCGATATTTATTCAACAACATATCGATTGACCACAAAGAAATATTTGCTTTAGTAGTGACGCACAGTGCCCCCCATCGCGTTGTCAGAAGACAAACCATCATCCAATTAATCAGTCTATACTTTCTGAACAGAACAACAGACCTGTTCAGTGAAGCGAACAATTTCTTGCGCGTCAGTACTTCGTATCGCCGTCACGCCCGTCAGTGACAAGGAGCCCTGGTATCGGCAAGGGTAGGGTGTGGGGTAATGTGAAGCTTTGAGGTTAGAACACGGAAGAGGAGTCCAGGGGGTTCGTATGTTTTGCTGGACCTTAACACAATGTGTTGTGTCATTGTAGAACTTTGCTCTTGAATAATACGCATTTGAAATATAAAAGCGATTATTAATATCGTAAAACCCCGCAAGAAAATTGCTTAATAGTCCTGGGATTAATGGATAGGCGTTTTGTTAAACTTGTGTTAGGCTGTAGTTCGTTGCAGCATATCCTGCGTGCCCTGATGACTATTTCTAAGGTCGTAGGTAAAGTGTGGGTTGTGTGATTAGTACACAGCGATCCCTTTTGCAGGAAATTTTACTGTCAATTTTCCATAAGAACAACTTCTTGTATGGATAAAAAGTGTTTACTAAACGTGGAGGATTATTAGAAGATTTTCTGTACTTACTGTGTTTTCTGAACTGTTGAAATTTGTAAATTTACGATATAAAATGCCATTATCAGACATCTTTAACAAAGTAGTTAAAATACATCCGTGGTCGTTAAGGTAACATTAAGTAATGTCATGTTGAAGAAAAAATGTTTTAACTTTTTCGATGATTTTAAATCTCGTGCAAAACTTAAACATCAGTTATGTAATATGAAAATACCATCCACCCAACATCACTCGGCCAGTCTTAACCACACATCATCAGGTGCTGTAAAGTCAACTACCTGTATGATAAACTCTTGATTATGACTTGTGTAGCTGAAACTGGTTGAGTGATGCCACTGGAGAAACTGTTTTGTTATTAAGTCATAATTCACTTAAGTCCAACCGTATGGAGTTCTACATAAAGTGATGACATCATCTTTTCCTGAAGTTGAAGACAGAGTCCTGACGGTACCTAGTGACCGAAATATTGGAAAATCCCCTCTCGAATGAAATGTCTTGTCATTTATTCCTTCAAGATGTTTCTTTGTGGACGTGTATTTTTCGATAACTTTATTATGTGTTTAGTTTAAAAAATAGAACGCGCTTTAGACAAGACTTGCCCAAGAAATAAATGTGATGTATATTATGGATGTGACTGTATATTGGTTTAACGCGGTCTGAAATTTATTTTCTTGTAGAAATGAACAAAATGACACATTTGTAGACATTCGACGTAGTATTCACTGGCTTGTTTTCTTATTTCATGACATGGATTAGGTGGAAAATTTGTTCCGGCGCTAATTTAATTATTTCTTCCATTTTTCCCCATGGTTGGCGATTTAACATTTTTCCTATTCAAGTAAGAGTTTGCATCCTACGGTAATCGAGCAGGTGGCATTTGTTCATATGTTCCAGACATTTTCCTTGGTATTTCAATTTCCCCTGCAAGAT